GTGTTATTGTGTCGAGTGCCCCCTGCTGGGTTCTGTGCACCCACACCTGTCCCCGCTGCAACTCCCACACAGCACAAACAGCCATCCTGGCGCTTCCCAACTTACCCTTCCAGTGGTTCCCACTGCGCTTCAAATCCAAACCCTCGCTGACTGAATCCCTGCCTAACTCCCCCATCCCCCGCCGTCACCGCTTACCACACTCCAGTCACAGCCCACTGGTTTCTGGTCTGCATGTTGCTACCTCAGGGCCTTTGCACATGCAGTTCCCAGGTCCTAAAGTGCTCTTTTCCTGATTCCTTCGAATCCCTCAGGAATTAGCCTCAATGACACTTCTCAGGGGATGCTTCTAGAAACACTTCTAGCACCTGTCTCATCATGCCACCTTGCTTTCATGTCTTTCCTGGCATTCATCCCTCTCTGGAGGTATCTTACTTTTTCCTTCACATGTTTGCCGTCCCCCCACCCCCACGGGAATGCAAGCCTGCGCGGGCAGGGACCGCTCTGCTTTACCAGCACCACATCTCTGAGGCGGAGGAGTCGGTGCTCTAACAGACCTTAAATAGCGCCCCTGGACTGTGACTGTGCACCGCCGGCGTCAGTGTCCCTCCACGCCCCAAACCCCTGGGCTGTGAGAGCCCCCTTTGTCCTCCTGGGACCCCCCGCCCATGGCTCAGCCGCTCTAACTGAGGGACCCAACCAAAGACAGCTCCCAGGATATACATGCGTGTCTGACGCTGTGTCCCTTGTTGAAGGAACGGATGAATAAATGAACACAGTTGTCTCAGAGCTCGAGTCCCTCTTAGTACCCAGCAAGCGCCCAGCGCCGTGGGTGTCTAATAAATGCTTGCTGGAGACCCCATTGATGATGTTCCCACATCACTTCTATTCCACCCTCACAGGAGGCCCCAGTCATGGGGCAGGAATCTGCACCTCCCACCTCTCAGGTGGGAAACCCAAGGCTCAGAGGGGTTATGCTTTTTCTCGAAGGCCAACCAGCCACTGGAGCAGAAAGAGACTGGCACGTGGGAGGCTACCCCCGAGGCCAGCGGCCCTTCCATTACAGGCAAAGGAAAAGCAAACATCACGAGACTCTGGTTTTCATTTTGGGGGTGTCTCTCTTGCCTCCAACACCCTTGGAAAGGGTCAAGGCCCATTTGAAAATCTGAAGAATATTAAGGAAACACTTCCTGGAAAAAAAAAAAGTCCATTTTTAAAATTTTTATTTCTAAGTAATCTCTATACCCAACTTGGGGCTCGAACTCACAACCTCAAGGTCAGGAGTCACATGCTCTACCAACCGAGCCAGCCAGGTGCCCCAAAATGCCCATTTTCATAAAACGCAAATTCTTGAGGTTACAAGTTTCTTTTTGTTGTTGTTTGTTTATTTTTGAGGCAGAGACAAGAGTGTGAGCAGGGGAGGGGCAGAGAGAGAGGGAGACACAGAATCTGAAGCAGCTCCAGGCTCCGAGCTCTCAGCACAGAGCCCAACATGGGACTCACACCCACGAACCACGAGATCATGACCTGACCTGAAGCTGGACGCTTGACCGACTCAGCCCCTTTTTATTTTTTTTTAACATGTATTCATTTTTGAGAGACAAAGAGAGATAGGGCGCAAGCAGAGGAAGGGCCGAGAGAGGGAGAGAGAACACAGGTAGGGAAGGAACCCAGAGAGAGGGAGACACAGAATCGGAAGCAGGCTCCAGGCTCTGAGCTGTCAGCACAGAGGCCCCAACGTGGGCTTCGAAGCCACGAACCACGACCATGACCTGAGCCGAAGTCGGAGGTTTGACCGACTGAGCCACCCAGGCGCCCCGAGGTTACAAGCTTCTGAAGCCAACCTGTGACCTCGGGCCACACTCCCCCAATGTAAGGAACACCCTAAGAGCTGATCCTCAGCACCTCTTAGAGCACAGGCCTCCCAACGACCTGTGTGCACAGCTCGCCCCCCAGTGGCCGAGCCTGGAATTGCCCAGAAGTCGAGCACCCCGGCCGTGAGGAGGGGGGGCTTTTCCGGGCAGCCCCCGGAAGGGGGACTTGACCTTCAAGGTGGGGAAAAGCCACGCGGGCTTAAGCAAGGGATGAACCTTATGATAGTTCCCACTTCAGAACGACCTCTGGGGCCACTGCGTGGAGAATGGACCTCACAGGACCTGCATGGGAGCCAGGACCCGGCTGGCCAGCCTCCAGGTGACAGACCCCAGGGTCACCGGCCAGGTTAGCACAAAACAGTGGGCTTGCGCGCAGCGTCGCAGCCCTGAACCCCTCACATGAGGCCACCAACTCCTGAGATCCGCACCTGACCCTGCAAGGCAGGTATTAAAATTGTCCCCATTTTTTTTTCCGATGAGGAAAGGCACTCGGGATTTTATTCACAGACATTGCAGCACCCAACAAATAGTAGCCGAAAGAAGGGCCATCTGTGTCAACAAAGGAATGCAGATGAGTGCAACCATCTGAATTAAACACAATTGTAGGGACCAGCGGTTACATGACTGCTGTTGGGGGTTGCAGCTACAGCAAGTAGAATCGGGACCTCTACTATTCTAGAACATTCTAGCATCATCCAGGATACAGACTCAGTGTGGCCGGAATTCCAAGGTGGAGGAGAGCTGAGTGAGCAGAAGTGATCAGGGAGGCTTCCTGGAGGAGACAGCATGGCTGGAATTGAGCCTTTGGTGATGGCCAGGACTGAGCGAGACAGAGAGGAGGGAAACTTCCATACAAGGGTAGCGTTTATTCCTGGAGCAGAGTGGGAAGATGGGGGCCAGTGCAGGACACGGTAAGGAACAGTAAGGAACAGTGCAGAGTTCTCACACACAGCGGGTCCCTGGACGAACATCTTTAAACTTCCATAGTTGTGTGATTTGTGTTCAGGGATACCGGAAAACACATAACTTGCCCATTGGACCCACAAGTTTAGATACAACTGCTTTTTTATATTTTCAAAAGAAAATTCTTTTTTTAAAAGATGAATCAAATCAAAAAAAAAAAAAACCTAAGTTAACAAAGTCACATGGTAGGTGGGGGGTTAGGGTGTAGAGTGCGAGCGTGAGGGAAAAGTCTGAGCCAGACACTTCTGGGAACTCCTTAGACCAAAGCCACATGGAAGTCGGGAACGTGTTGAGGGGATTTCCCTCCCTGAGCCCTGGAGGAAGTCGCTGGATGTGTTTTGGATCCAAGGTTGCCCCCCAAAACCAAACTGACTTCAACCTGACAAAGACATTCAGAAGGAAGAAGTTCACACAGCGAGCCCCGGGAAGGGCGAATTCACTTCTACTGTGTTCCCTTGGGACACACACACACACACACACACACACACACACACACACACACACACAGCAGAAAGCTTTATGGATGTTGCCTTTTTTTTTTTTTCTCTTTTTTATAAGCAGGTAGATCTCCATGCAAACGTCTAAAAAAGTGTCTGGTTGAAGCTGAGGCACAGAGCCGTTTGCGGTCAAAGGTCCTCAAACTCAAGTTCAGGAGCGCTGAGCTCAGCTTTCCAAGGATGATAAAGGAGGGTTTGAATGGACCATCTCGGAAGCCTGGCTTCCCCTGGAGCTTTTTGCCTGTAGGTGGAGAACTTTCTCGCCACGCGCCCCTCCCCCACCGCTCCCGCTGCCTTCGGGTCCCCACTCGAGGGACGCCCCCAAATACTGGTTTACAGGACTAACTAATCTGAAGGTTGAGCAATCTTGCCATCCTGCTGCAAATGGGTGATGTCCACTTTGTTGCTTTCTACAAATGTGCAGAAAGGTCACAGGGACCTGTCAGCTGACAGATCTGCAAAAATGCTTTCTGATGACAGATGGCTATCTGGTTTTTGCTCATTACTCAAGAGGAGAAGCACTGAGTGACGCACCACTAGGACACGCCTTCCACCCCCACGGCTGCGTATTTATGTAAACAAGCCTTCTCTGTCTTGGATCTGTGAAAATAAGAATGGAAATGGTGATATGTTTGGTGTCCTAGCAAAGTTTTTGTCACTCAGGGACACAGGAATTAATTGGGGATGGCGCGGAAGCCTTATTCACCTCATTAGGCGATGTGTTTCCACGCAAATAAAAACCACAATGAGATTCCGCCACGAATGACTAAAATGTTTTAAAATACCAAGGTGCTGGCCGTTCCGCAGGGCAGGTGAAGCTCCACTACTCTGCTGCTCTGAAAATTATCTGGCAGAAACTCAGGAGGCTTAACTGCCATGGGCCCCACCAACCCCATTCCTGGGTTTTACTCATAATCGCCCAGAACTGGAAACACTTTTCTTTTTTTCAATGTTTGCTTATTTTTGAGAGAGTGCAAGTGGAGGAGGGGAAGAGAGAGAGGGGGACAGGGGATCTGAAGCAGGCTCTGAGCTGTCAGCACGGAGCCCGGCGCGGGGCTCGAACTCACCAACCACAAGACCATGACCTGAGCTGAAGTCGGAGCCCAACTGACTGAGCCGCCCGGGCGCGCCCAGATCCTGCCCCTTCTAAACAAGAACTGCATTCATGCGGTATCTACACAGAATGTTACATATAAACGAGGCTGAAATTTCAAAACAATAGAAAGGCAAGTGACCGGCACGTGGGTGGCTCAGTGGGTTAAGCGCCTGACTCTTGATTTTGGCTCAGGTCATGGTCTCACAGTTAGCGAGGCCGAGTCCCACATCGGGCTCTGTGCTGACAGTGCCGAGCCTGCTTGGAGTTCTCTCTCTCCGTCTCTCTCTCTCTCTCAAAAGTAAATGAACATAAAAAGAAAAGAAAGAAAGGAAGGGAGAAAGAGAGAGAGAAAGATGGAGGAGGAGAGAAAGAGAGAAAGAAAAAGGAAGGAAGGAAGGACGGGAGGGAGGGGGAGAGAGGGAGAGAGAGAGAGAGAGAGAGAGAGAGAGAGGCAGGCAGGGGGGCAGCCCAGCCCCTAGGAACAGCTACCAGAAAGGAGCTATGGACTACAAAAAGGCCAGAATTTTCCAGGAAGCCTGACTCCCCCACAAACAGCCTGCCACAGACTCAAACTTTAACTTTTAAAAAAGGTTTATTACTTCAATAGTGAGTTATTTTTTAAAAGATGATAAAACTCATTTCTCTCGCAGTAGAAAAGAGGCAGAGGCTGGCGCCCAGGCGGGGACGCATGGGTCTCCCACTGGAGCGGCCGGGCGCCCAGACGGATGGGGCTGATGGCCCGGGGTGGGGGGGGGGGCAGCTCCGGGCAGTGCCTCCCTCTCCCCGAACCGGGAGCGGCCGGCTCAGATGCAGGATGACGTCAGTTTAGCTGGAGGAGGGGCCCCGGCACCCCCCGCGGACTTGGGGACCTGGGAGCCAGCGGGAGCAGCCACTCACACCGCCCTCGAGGCCTGTGCGACGGTGCGTGGGGCCCAGCCCGGGGGGCGGGCCGCGGCCAGGCAGCTCCCGTGCCCGCATGGCTCTGGCACAAGAAGTCTGGGTTCCTGGGCTGGGTCCGGGGACAGTAGTGAAAGCCATGTCCCGCGTGGCCGAGCCACCGAGCAGGGACGGCGGTGTCTTGCGGCTGGCTGAAGGGGCACCGGGGACAGGTGGCCCGAGTTGTCAGGAGCCTGGGCCCACTGGGGGAGGGGACCCAGTGCCCGCGCGTTGTGGGCCACTCGGACAGGTTCCAGAAGGTTCCAGACAGTCCTTGTTGATGATGCTCTGAGTCTCCTCAGCAAGCGGCTCCATCCCTGAGTGTGTCTGCACACACCTGTGCACTCACGTGTGGACACGTGCCGGGGGTGTGCAGTGTGTGGACACGCGTGTGGCAACCAGGGGGCTCAGGCTTTAGGACTGGTGGGCTGTCCGCCAAGTGAATCCTGAAGAAGTGGGGTGTAGGGGCTGGGGAGCCGGTCGGGCTCCGTGGCCACGCTGGGCTGGCTCGTGACATCTCTGGGACCCTGTGGAGGGAGACAGGAGCTGGGTCACCAAGCCCCGGCAGGGAGCCCCGCCCACACCCCCAGCCCCGCCCACCGCCCTGCCCCCTCCTCTCGCCGCATGCACCCTCCGTGTCCCACTTATGAAGGTGGAGATGAGAAAAGGCTGGAGTGACATACAGACGCCCCTGGAACGCAGTTAGGAGGGCCCCTCCTCTCTCGCTAAACACGGTCTTGCCCTGCCCTCGCCCCATTTCAGAGGTGGGAAAACCGAGGCCCAAAGGGACTTGCTCAACACCGTGAGAAGGGCAAGGCCAAACCCCAGGGCTTACAGGCGGTACTGTTACCGCGGAAACTGGAAACCACCTAAACGTCCACCGACAGAAGAGATGCATTTTTAAAATATGGTCACAAGCCGGTATTGAACCTAGCCGGCCTTCACACACGGAACCTCGAGGAAGGGAAGGCGAGCGGCAGAGGGACCCGCGCACTGTGACAGCGCGGAGAGAATTTTGTTAATCGTCCATTGTTCGTGGAGACATTTATAGACTTAGAGGGAAAGAGCTCACGCACCAACTTCCTGACAGCGGCTGGCTCTGGGAAACGGTGAAAACACAGGACATAATGTTAACAATTACTGTTGTGGGGGCGCCTGGGGGGCTCCGTCGGGCAAGCATCTGACTCTTGATTTCAGCTCAGGTCACGGGTCCTACGGTCCTGAGTTCGAGCCCCGCGTCGGGTTCTGCGTTAACAGCGTGGAGCCTGCTTGGGATTCTCTCTCTCAATCTCTCTTTCTCTCTCTCTCAATCTCTCTGTCTCTGCCCCTCCCCTGCCCGTGCCCGCGCTCTGCCTCAAAATAAATGAATAAACTTAAAAATAAAAACCATTTAACTATTTTTAAAAAGTTAATATTGTTGAGTCCAGGTGAGAGGGAACATCAGATACTGTGATTTATCTACTCTGACATTTTTCAAAGATTTCTCAACACGTCCGTCAAAGACAGCAACGCTGCTAAGCTCATCCTCCCCCTGAGCCCTGAAGGAGGGAGGGGCCTCGGGGCCCAGCAGTCGTGGCGGGAACAGCGGGGGCTGCACACACTTGTGCCTTGTTCCCAAACCCCCAGGGCTCCCCCGTCCCGTGTCCCCACGCACTCTGGGCAGCACAGGGAAGGCCTGGACTCCTGAGCCTCTCCCTCCGGGACACCGGGCAGGGCCACCTTCAAGTCAGGGACGGGAATGGGGGAGGGTGGGGAGACCAGGCCAGAGTGAGACCAGCCTCACCCCCCACCAGCGCGGAGAGACAGCATGCGACACCCAGGGGTGGCCAGAACCTCAGCAACGTGGCCCAAAGAGCCACCACTTAAGAAAGCCTTGCTCCGAAGTACAAAGGGAACTAGATCTAGCCTGTGACAGGGGTCCTGGTCCGTGAACCAGACTCCTCCTCTTCCCACTTCCTTCCACTTTCATTTAGCTGAGGAACGAAGACTTTAATGGGAGAGAAGTCAGTGAGAAGGTAGGACAGGGCCAGGAATATTTCCCTGAAGGGCTTCCATGTATGGTCGTCCAAGATGTCCACTGCACAAGGGCACCTGGCCAAAGGGGCTGCAAATGGGTTGTCGGGCTCCATCTGCCAAGCCCTCTGCCCTAGAGCCGGCCAGGGACGCCCAAGAGTGGCCGTCTTTCTTATCGACCCAAAAACCACCCTTCTGGGCTCGTGAAGGCCCCGTTTCCTGCTTTCTCCCCGGCCAGGCCACCCTAAGACCACGCCCACGCCCAGGCACGAGGCACGGTGTGGGGCCTCCTCCAGGGACCCAGGCTGAGGCTCCGCGCAGGCTGGGGTCACCACCCCGGGATCTCAGCCCACAGGCCCTGGACACTGCGCTCCCCGAGGACACACGGCCGCAGGGAGAGCCGCGTCACCTGCTGTGAGGGCGGGGCTGCCTTCCACGGGGCAGGGCACCCCAATCTCTTGAGGTCAGAAACTTCCCCAATCAACTGAAAATCAGATTCCGGGGGCAAAACACGGAGGAGACCCCAGTTTTGGTTTTGTGTTACCGGGAAGAGGGTGGCAGAGGGCTCGGGGCTCACGGTCACCAGCCCCACCTGTGCTAAAAGGGGACCCCGCCCTTCTCTGGGCCTGAGGACCCCACCCCTGCACCCCGAGGATGCCATGCAAGTTTCGGCAGAAGGGAATGACAGCCAGGAGGCGCCAGGGGGCCAGTGAGGCCAAGCTGTACATGATAAGGCGCCCCCGAGGGGTCCTGGGGCACCAGAGGGAAAGGGGGACTGGTCTCCAAGCCCGGGGACTTGTTCTCAGGAGGACACCCTATTGACCAAGCTCAGCCCTGACGTGCTCGGGCCCGGCCTCCTAGTCCCAAACTGTCAGGAGGAGCCCCCAGGGCCTGGCTGGGGACACAGGCGGCCCTCCCTCCCCCTCCTCCCACCTGTCGGCGCAGACAGGCCCGCGGCCACGACGTTGCATTTTCTATGCTCTTTCCGCCCCCGGCCCTGGCGCACCAAGCCAAAGGGCCCCAAAGAGCAGGGCCGCGGCCCCCCCTCGCCCTGTGGCCCTCAGGAAACCCGAGGCAGCTCGGCCCCAGGGGCCCCAGGGGGCAGCACAGTAACAGCAGTTATCAGAGGTCCAACCGTACGGTGACTCATCGCCGCCCGACCCCAAACTCTAGGGCCCACCGGGCAGGCCGCGGCTCCCTGCGACCCCAGACCTCACGGAACCGGGGGCCGAGGAGCCGGGGACCTTCTCCGGCAGGAAGGTTGCCAGGTAGCATCGGGGCGTCCGGCTAAATGTGAATTTCAGGACAGGCGCGTCCCAGGATCTGCACGGGACACACCTGTCCTAGAATCTACTCGCCCTTCACCTGACATTCACATGAACCCGGGCCTCCTCTCCTTGTTCTGGTTTCCCGTGGGGGCGGGGGCGTGCCGGTGGGTCTGGTTTTGCTCCGGCTGGTAAACCTACCCTCCGGCTGAATCCTAGGTACCCAGTCGGTGCTCACTTGGTGCTTAAATTCCGTTTTCTTGGTCAGTCATTCCAGACTTATTGAGACTTAGGTTTCTCAAACGCAGGATCATCTACATCAGAATCCCCTTACTGCGTGGCGCGGGGGGGGGGGGGGGGGCGGGGCGTCCATTAAAATACAGCTTCCTGGGCTCCGTCCGTGACTCTATTCCAGGGGATCTACAGGGATGCCCGGAGGAGTCCACCCACGAGAGGTCTGAGAAGCGACTGTGGCCTGAACCTGGACCCTCCTTTTCTGAAACAACCTGGCAAATCGCGACGCCAGCCCACAGTACGCGATGGCCCCCCACGTCCGAAGGGCGGAGCACCCCCCAAGCAAAGCCTACGAGTACGAATCTATAGTCTGCAGACACTCCAGGTGAAGTTTAGGCTGAAGAAATGGGTGAGATCCAGAGTGGGCGGAGGTGCCAGAGGTCTATTTGCTACGGGAGGGGAGCGGGGGGCGGGGGGGCAAAGCGTTACCTGGTACCCACCTACAATCTTGCTTCTTGCAGCACAGAGCCCTTGGGAGCTGATGTCATCAGGGATTCAGAATAGGCCTGAATGGCCTCCTTATCCTTTGAGCCCTTTTTACTACTACTCCAAAATAAATAGCATTTCTCCTAGAAGATAACCAAGCTAATTTATAGTTGACTCTGCAGCCAAACACAAAAGGTTGATACGGTTCTTCAATGTCGAAAAGCAAAGAGCAGGATGTTAAGTCCAACAACCGTTAAAGACCGGAGAGGCTGAGATGGGGGGGAGGGGCCTTCACCAGAGACAGAAGTGCGGGTATCTTCGGGAAACACGCCCAGTGGGACAGACAAGCCCCACAAGGAAGGGGCTGCCCACCGGAACATTCTAGGCTTTGGACAGGAGCCAAGGTGGGGAGCCGGGCCACAGTGGACAGGAAGCAGCGGGCTGAGCAAGTGGCGTTTTGAATGGACCAAACACCAACTTTCTGTTAAAAGCCTCGCTACTTGAAAAGAACAACTCGAGAAGAAAAATTTCTCGTAACTAAAATATGCTGGGTTCACCAGCACGTGATGATGATGACTTTTTTTTTTTAACAATCAGGACAAATATAAAAACATGTAAGGCCTAGGGGTGCCTGGGGGGGGGCTCGGTCAGTTAAGTGTCTGACTGCGGCTCAGGTCATGATCTCTCAGTTCGTGGGTTCGAGCCCCGCGTCGGGCTCTGTGCTGACAGCTCAGAGCCTGGAGCCTGCTTCAGAGTCTCTCTCCCTCTCTCTGACCCTCCCCTGCTCGGTCTCTGTCTCTGTCTCAAAAATAAATAAACATTACAAATTAAAAAAACAAAAAGGCCTAACCCCTGCTAAGTACCCCCCCACAAAAATATGTAACGGAATAAAGTTCCGTGATTTGGCCTCCGTGACACTGCAGGGACTGCGTCCTCAGTGAAAACAGCCATCCTGACTGCACCAGAGGCGCCGCAGCCAGCGACCTCGCACGTGCGCCCTCTCTCCTCCCCGGCCTGCTTCCCATGGACACTTAGGGGACAGAGGGGACAGAAGGCGGAGCCCCCTCCCCTGGCCCGGACCCTCACCAGCTAGTCCACCGGGTCCCCTGCCTGGGGCGGTATGTCGTCACTACTGGGCACAACCAAGGAGGTCGCACAGGCTGGGGACCTGGGCTTCTGGTCCCTTCCGTCCCCCCCCAGCAGAGATCAGTCAAAAAACTACAGGGAGTCCTCTTGTGCTCCCCGGAGCACCAGGTCCGCTCAGCCCGGTCTCCCCGGGCCCCCGACAGGCCGCTTACGCCCATCGGTCCCCAGAGGCTCAAACACCTGGGCGCTGGCACAGTGACAGCTCCGGGGCCTCGGCACCCTGGCACCAGTGCCAACCTTCCTCCCCCAAAGGATGTGGACTTTGGAAGGTAAGTCGGGTTAAGGGTCTGAAACCAAAGTGAAGAGCCCGGGAAGGTCTGTCGTTGCCCCAGCAAGCGAGCAAGCGTGCAAGCCGCCCCAAGGAGGAGAGCGCAGAAGAGCTGTTGGCCCCAAAGCTGAAGCGAGAAAGCAGGCGCTGTGGGGGCCCCAGGGCCCTCCCACACACCTTGCCCATCCCTGCCTCAGGGCCTTTGCACTGGCCATTCCTGGGCCTGGGGCAGTACTTCTGTGACTGTGTGCTGAGTGCCTCCTTAGCATTCACACCTCAGCCTAAATTCTGCCTCTTCAGAGGAGCCGCTCCTGACGCTCTCGTTAGCTGTCCCCAGCGCTCTGGAATAAATTCTATGCTGTCCGGTCCAGGAGCCACATACAGCTGTCAGGTCCTTACAATGGGGTGAGTCTCAGGGCGCCCAGGGGGTGCAGCCAGTTAAGTGTCCTACTCTTGATATCGGCTCAGGCCATGATCTCGCTGTCAGGAGATCAAGCCCCGTGTCAGGCTCCGTGCGCTGGGCACAGAGCCTACTTGGGATTCTCTCTCTCTCTCTCTTTCTCTCTCTCTCTCCCGTCCCCTGCTCTCTCTCTCAAAATAAAGACATAAACATTTAAAAGTAAATAAATGGGGTGAGTGTAACATAAGTGTAAAATACACAGTAGATTTTAAAGACATAACATGAAAAAAATAATATACGATACGGTTATGTTTGTATTTTTTTCATATGAGTTACATGTTGATATGGTCAGATTTTGGACCTATCCAGATGAAACAAAATATATGATTAAAATCGGTTTCTTTTTACTTACTGTGGCCGTTAAAAAATTTGGATTTAAAATCCCACACGTGGCTCGTGTAGGCCTACCGGACAGCACTAACTTGCCACATTTCCCAGCGTCTGTATCATCAGCGAAATTATCCTTTCTGTTTGCTTGGTTTCCTTCTGTCTCCCCAACAGGGACAGCCCGGTCCCCCGGGGCAGGGACGCTGTCTGTCTCCCCAGGCAGTACGGCCTGCTCCTGACAGAGCCTGGCCCCAGCAGGGGCTGCCCTGGTGAACACACCAACCCAGCACCAGGTGTCAGTGCCCAAAGCCCCTCCCAGGGGGAGTCCCCAGGCCCCGGGCCGGGCGGGAGAAAGGGGGGAAATGCAGGACGCAAGAGAGGCGAGGACACAGGGTGAGCTCCCCTGCCCCAGGCAGAGGCGCGGGACCGCTGCCCAAGGTGGGCCCCGAGCCAGGCTGTCCGCGGGAACCCCGGGAGGGGCGGCCAGGGGAACCCCATCCGTGTCCCACCGACCCCCAGCAGGCAAGCAGTGGGCCGCGGGGCCCGGGCCACGCGCTAGCCACCACCTACCTGACTCCGGATCTGGTGGATGATGGGAATGAGCAGCAAGATGCCGCCCAGGCCGAGGAGGACGTACTGGGCGTACTGCAGCACGCTGGGCACCACCACCAGCTGGGTGTAGAAGGTCTGCAGGGGCCGGCCCTCCATCGCCCCGCTCTGGGGACGGAGAACGACAGGCTACCGGGCTGGGGCCACACCGGGCAGGTCCGGGACGCAGACGCCACCCCACGCCACACCCGGGCGCCCCACCCCCCGCCCATCTGGGGACTACTCCTCCCCCAGCTTGTGATGGAGCCTGTGGGGGCCTCCTTTTCCTCGGGGGCACACGCGGGACATTTCCCAGACTCCCTTGCAGCTGGACAGGACCACGGTGATCACGTTCTGGCCAATGGTACGTGGGCCCCGGATGCTACGGGCCTGGCTCACAGACACCTACCAGCGGATTCTCTTAATTCTTGGTCCTAATTCCCTGAACGGGAGGGGTTCTGAGGCCCTGGAGGAGGGCGGGACCAAAGCGGAGCTCCGCCTCCCACAAGGTGCCCCGCCTGTGAGGTGAGCTCTGCCCCGTCTGAAACAAGTTGGCCAGAAGGAACCCCCAAAAGCTGGGAGAAGGAAAAGTTCTAGTGAAAACCTGACACGCCGGGGGCGCCTGGGTGGCTCGGTGATCATGATCTCACGGTTCATGGGCTCGAGCCCCGTGTCAGGCTCTGTGCTGGCAGCTCAGAGCCTGGAACCTTCTTCGGATTCTGTGTCTCCCTCTCTCTCTGCCCCTCCCCACTTGTGTTCTGCCTCTCTCTATCTCAAAAATAAATAAACATTAAAAAAAATAAAAGAGAGAGAAGCTGAACTCTGGAAAGCAACTTCCCTCCTCTCAGGAGAAGTGGTCAAGAGCATGTACAAAATTACACCCTGGACCAGAGCCTCACATTTCCATGCAGCCTGTCTTCCTCATCTCAAGCGATCCTTTCAGCTCCGTGGGATATGTGATATAAAGCGCCTGGGCCTTCTGAAGCTTCTAACAGATGGTTCTACACCCCAATTCCAGCTGCCAGCCCAGCCTCCCCTCCCCAACAAACAGCCGCCCCCACCTGCAAAGCCCACACTGGCCCCTCCCGGGGGCCCCAGACACCACGCCCAAGGGCACCCATGCAGGCAACGTGAGGCAGCCTCTCACCTCTTCAAACCACATCAACGGCAGGACCACCGGCTCGATCTTCCCTGTTTGTCTGGAAATCAGACCAAAAAAAGCGAGTTTATGCCAGGCAGCTTTGGCTCCAGGGTCGGGAGGGATTTGATTTTGCAATGACTGGATCGGTGCAGGCTTGAGGAACGGGTATTTCCTGGCAGGGAGCAACTTGGCAATCTGCTAGTGTTCTTTTGAATTAAAAACTCTCGTCTCCTACGTAATTGGTGGGGGTGGCGTGGGGGGTGCCAGTGACCTGGCTGGTGTCCACTCGTTCCTTTTAGAAACAAAAGCCCACATTTATTCAGGATGGCAATGCACCCAGCTAACTAACAAGAGCGCTTATGCTCACCTCTTGCTTTCCTTTGGAGAATCTGGAGTCTGGGCTCGTGCCAGACGGGGCCCATGTGACCAGGCCCCAATAAACACCCCGGGCGCTGAGTCTCTAATGGGCTTCCCTGGTAGAAAACACTTCACACGTGTTGTCACAACTCAATGCTGGAGGAATTGAGGGCGTCCTCTGTGACTCACCCAGGAGAGGGTTCTGGAAGCTTCTGCCCAGACTTGCCCCCACGCACCTTTGCCTTTGCTGATTTTGCTTGAATCCTTCCGCCATAATAAATCACAGCCACAAGTACGACTATGTGCTGGGTCCTGTGAGTCTTCCCGCTAAATCATCGAACTTGACAGTGGTCTTGGGGACCCCCGACACAATACTGACTAGCTAACTGTGTGACCGTGGGCACGCGACCTCCCTCTCTGTGTCTCCTCTGTACAATGGGGGCTACACTGGCACCAAATGCTGTGAAAAGCGCTCAGAAGAACATCCACCCTGTAGAAACTGCTCCAGGTTCAGAACTAGCAAACAAATGGGCGAAAACGTCTGCAGCCTCACCGTTTTGGGGTCTGCTTCAAGAAGGCACAGCCAGACAGAGGGGGGAGGGACCTCACTAGGGGGACAGAACCAGAGTCGGCATGGATGGCCCAAATCCCTCAGTCACCACTCTCCAATCTCTCTTGGGCTGCCCGCAAAGTGCTTTCGGCAGCTGGGTCTCTGCCTTTTTCCCACGCCCGCTGCCCATGGGGTGGCGGGAAGCACCTTGGTTAGACCGGCCCCCTCGAGGCCACTGCTCTGGCCCGAAGGGGAGGTCAGACAGTTGTGTCGCCCTGTCCTGGAGAGACTGGCACACAGAGGCCCAGAGAGGGCAGGGTAGAGGCCACGGGTCACCAACATGCAGAGTCCAGCAACCCGGCCGTGCTGCTGGCTTGAACAGCGTTTGCCAAGAATTCAAATTCACTTCCAACTGGTGAAAATTAAGAGAGCTCGTGTTAAAATCCAGATTTTTGTTTTTTGTTTTTTAATTGTTTTAAACTTTATTTTTTTTTTAATTTTTTTTTTAATGTTTTATTTATTTCTAGGAGAGAGAGAGAGAGAGAGAGATAGTGAGCAGGGGAGGGGCAGAGAGAGAGGGAGACACAGAATCCAAAGCAAGCTCCAGGCTCTGAGCTGCCAGCACAGAGCCCAACGCGGGGCTCGAACCCACGAACCATGAGATCATGACCTGAGCTGAAGTCGGACCCTTAACCGACTGAGCCACCCAAGTGCCCCAAAATCCAGATTCTCAAAAATGCATTTGAAAGTGCACCCGATGGGGCCCCAGCGGACATGGGCTCCCCGGTGCTGGGGCGGGGCTGCTCCTCCCGCCCAGCCTTTCCTAGTCACCTGCTGGCCCCCCTCAAAGTGATGCGGGCCCCAGAGTCCGAGGCCGGGGGAATCCCTGTGCCACTTCACCACCTTGCAAACCCTCCAACAGCCTCAAAATGCACAAATAAAAAGCCAGGCCGGGAATGAAAGAGAGGATCGCATTCTTTCCAGCTGAAAGGCATTTTACAGAAAAGAGATGCTCACATTCCTGGAGCCCAGGAATCTCTGTAGGGGAATCTTTTTTTTTTATGAAACTATTCCAAATATGCTTAAAAAACAAAACAAAACACAGAAGCCAGGCCCTACCATAACGACTAAACTGGTGCAGCCCCCCGCCCAGCCCCGTCACAGCACCCTGTCCTAACCAGAGCTGGCGCGGACACGGGGCCGAACGCTCCCACGCTGCCTGCAGGAAGGTCAACGGGGCAAACCAGGCCGGGGGGGCCTCCAGCGCTGACCGTGGAGTTCCCGCGTGGCCCAGCACGGGGTCTGCCCCAGGTCCGTACCCAGCAGAGTTGAAAGCCTCCATCCACACAGAAGTATGCGTGCACGTTCATTGCGTCATTACTCGTGACGGCTAAAAACGCGAAAGACCCAAATGTCCACCAACTGATACGTAAAGCATGCCCTGTGCGTTCAATGGAACAGGATTCGGCCATAGAAAGGACGCTCAGACACCTGCCACAGGATGAGCCTCGACGACATGATGCCGAGTGAGAGAAGCCAGACACAAAAGGCCACGTAGTCTCCGATTCTATTTATAGGACGTGTCAGGCAGAGGCAAATCCACAGAGACAGAAAGTAGATTAGGGCTGACAGGGGCCGGGGGAGGGGGAGGCGACTGATAACGGCCACGGGTCTCTTTGGAGGTGACAGAAAGGGTCTAAACCTGACTGTGAAGACACTGCACAGCTTCGTGGATATGCCACACGTCGCCGAGCCGTAGGCTGGCCAAGGGCGAGTTTTACAGCGTGTGATTTATATCTCGATAAGGTCGCGATTCAAAACAAAAACAAGACAAGACAAAAGAAAATCAGGGCTTAAAATATTCCTCCCATAAAGCAAAGAGTCACATTTTAAAATGCCGTCTGGCAAGTTTCCTTTTTCAAAGACTTGTTTTTTGCCAGGATTTAAATTTTTTTTTTCTCAATCTTCTGTGGAGTGGGAAATGGCTCGGACGGAAGAGTCTGGTGGATCCGGGGGATTCCGGGGCAGGGACCAGCCCGCAAATCCAGGAAGCCCGTCCCCCTCCCCACGAGCTGGGCCCTGGGGAAGTCACCGCAGCCCCAGCGCCCGGACCCACTCACCCGATGCCTTTGATGGCCTTGATGTAGAGGCTCAGCTGTAGCTTCACAGAGCAGTTCATGGGGATTCCGGTGACCTGAGAAACAGCGCATTGAGGGGCCGGGGTTCTCGGGAGCCCCGGGGACGCCTCCAAACACCCGTCCCTGGTCCCGCTCCACAGGGCGGCCGTCCGGTTGAGCTGCCCGGGGACGGGGGCCTCCCGCTGGCTCCGAGCCCCTCCGGACGAACACACGCTTCCCCAACGGCTCTTCTGCCCACGTCGCTTCTCCGAGTGCAAATGACATTTCTCACCCGTTGCCCCCCGACCCCGCGCATCCTCCAGACCAAACAAAACAGACTCGCGTGTGAAGAAAGTCACTTTCCTCTTGAGTCACACAACTTTCCCGCTGACTGTCTCAAGCCCAACGACACTTCTCCCTTGCGTTCATTTTCAAGGCTGCCGCCTTTTCTCTGAGAAATTTTTCATTTCCGACGTGAGGTAGTGACCGGAAACTCCTTTCGGGTGCAAACCTACCTTTTTCTCTTATGAGATAATTGTTTAAAGCAGTGAGGAAACAGCAGGATACACACGTTATGACCAGACTCGGGGGGCGGCTCCGGAGCAGGAACCGAGCTCTGAGGCCAGGAGGCCAGGAGGCCAGGAGGCCGGGCCGTCGCCGAGCTGCTGAGGCCGGGAGAGCTCGAACCGAGAACCGACAGGGTGGGAGTGAGTCCACCCGAGCGTGGAAAAGAGACAACGCAGCAGGCCCAGGCCGCCCTCCTCAGAGAGGCCCGCTGGCCAGGCTGGCCGGTGGCTGGAGGCTGGGAGCCTGGATTTCGGGAGCCCCCCTAACCGATAAGGGGGGGCTCACCGTGCCTGGACCGTTTGTACAAGCTTCGTGATTTATGCCGCCCGTCAGCCGTCCTGCGGGGAGTCTGGAAGTTTGGAAGGGACCAGGCAGAGGGTGCCGGTGGGAATAGTCCTCGGTAAACACCAGGGCACTGTCTCTAACGGGCTTCCCTGGGGCGACACGCCTCACTGCTGGGGGAATTAAGTGTGTCCTGTGTGGCCACCCCGGGAGACGGTGCTCCGTGTCCTTCCTCTGGAATGAGCACAGCCGTGCTGAGTCCTGGGTCTCCTGCTCGCAAATCGTGGAACGCGGCGGTGGTCTCGGAGATCCGAGCACAAGCTGCCATCCCCTCCGCTTTCTAGAACAGACTCTGCATGCCGGGGTCTCCACCCAGGCCACTTCCTTCCCCAGGAAATTTATTTCCTTCCCTCACTGGCCTGCTTCTCCAGTGTGGTGGGGCCACTTCTCAGTGGGCAAACCCCCGCCGTGGCCGGCACCGCACAGGACAGAAGCGCGGCCCCGTGAGCTCGCGCCCATCGCCACACCCTTCCCGGCTTCAGGGCTGGAAAACCGGCCACCTCGGCAGCAATGCCAGTGCGTATTCTATTTTGGGGGCTGATGCTTCACAGCCAGCAACCTGGGCCCAGGCTCTTTCTTCCTCCCCAAAAGTGCCCAAATCAAAAACCAAAAAACGAAAGGAGGGGGCGCCTGGGTGGCTCGGCTGGTTGAGCGTCCTACTCTTGATTTCGGCTCAGGTCATGATCCCAGAGTTGTGGGATCAAGCCCCGTGTTGGGCTCTGCGGTGAACACGGAGCTGCTTGGGATTCTCTCTCTCCCTCTCTCTCTCTCTGCCCCTCCCCCTCACCTCTGCTCACACACGTGTGCACGCACTCTCTCTAAAAAAACAAACAAGCAAACAAACTTCAGAAAAACGAAAGGCCACTTCCTTTCCCCGCGTGCCACCAGCCGACCCAAAACAAAAGAAGTAGACACCGGCCAACGTAGCTGCTGCTGCAGACACATGCTGGTATCTGCCCGGCCTCCCGACCCTCGCCTATTTCTCAACACAGGCGGAAAAGGGAAATCCACGCACTCAGGTGCGAGTCACCAGTGAGGACAGACAGAGAGGGTGCCCTTGGCAGATTCCCCCGAAGCCAGCAGAGAGAGGCAGTAAAGTAAATGAACTAAAAGAGAGAAGGCGGACAACCCCATTACCTTTATAATAAAAACCTCTTAGCAGCTGATTGAAATGTTAAGACAATGTGGCAAAGCCTTAACATCTCTAACAAGAACGAGCTTCAGCAGAACACATAATATATTAATTTTAATTACTACCAATTTAAATAATTAATGCCAACCTCATTAAACTTAACCAGACATTAGCACGGGACACGAGGCGGGGGCATCAGAAGGACTGTGTTTGAATTCAGCGTGGCCTCGTACTTACTCTCATTTATCAAAACTGTGCCTGCGGAGATACCAGGACCTCTACACTAACTGCCAGCAGCCAAGCAACGAACGGGACAGAATGGATCTGTCCTCTGTGGAGGCAACAATCCCATTTATGAGTTGTGTCGCTTGCCCTATCTGGGCCATGCTCTCCCCATCTGTACAATGGGAGCAGCAATGCTCACCGCCCAGAAGATTGTGCAAATTTACTGAGTGGCTGCATGTGAAAGTATCTAGCTGGTGTCTGGGTCATAATGAGCGTGCAAGCACTATTTGCTGGATGTGAAGCGCATGGGGTCGCATTTGACCTCACTAGTCTGGGTTCTGAGTGAAAAGAGAAGGCGGGGAGGGGGAAGATGGAGTGCCAGAGGCTGGTGGCGCTGGCGGGTTGAGTCAGGAGCTCAGAAAGTCTGAGGAGGACGCAGAGAGACGATGTGGAACAATGTCAGGCACAAGAGGTTTGAAAAAGGCCCGTGGGGAAGACCAGGAGTGTCCATGCAGGAAACAGAAACCCACAGGAGTTTGTCAACGGTGAAGGCCACCAGGCCCAAATGGGCACATTTTACAGTGACACAGATACTGGGAGACAAGGCAATCAGGTAAAGATAGGCCCACAGGAGGGCCACCTGTGTGGGTCTGCTACCCTCTTCTCTTGGTCCCCACCTGCGGACAGAATGCCATAAAGGACAAATTCCCCAGAACCCAGTTTATCTGCGAGGCTCTCGTCGAGGATCTTTATGATATGTTGGCACGGTCAGAGGGCTATTCTGGCTAATTGGCATGCTGATAATTTTCATTAATTTACTGTCTTATGGTCCTTTTAGAAAGACAATTCCCTCGCAAAGAGATAATGAATCCCTTGAACTATGGAGTCAGGGCAAAGTAGCGACCTCTGACAGCTTGATATTGCAGAAGCTATCAACGCCAACGAAAGTCAGGCTTCCCATCACCCCATCACCCCCACCCTCCACCCCACGGCCAGAAGAGCTCAGTGCCTGGGGGTAGGGAAGGGAGCCAGGCTGGCACCAATGCGAAATCTCCCACCCTGCTCCCCACAGGCTGACAGGCAGGGGCTCACCGGATGGATGTCCAGGAATAAGGAATGTTCCTCTTGGTTGGGGTGGAGGCCAAGCACCGCTTCTGCCAGCATCGGGTCGGCGTTGTAGAAGTGAGGATGGGAGAGAAACAAGGGTGCATCTAGAAGGCAGAGGGGTGGAGGGGGTGTGTCAGACAATGGAGAGAGTCAGCACATCCACGGTTTGCTTCTGGCCAGGCTCAGGGGATGAAACAGAGCCGCTGCCTGCAGAGCACACGGATGATGACAAAATGCAAACGACAATAACTAGACAGAATCCCTTCAGCCTGTAAATGTCTATCGAGGGCCCACAAGACGCCAGGCACTGGGAAGAGACAAGCTCTGTATCCCAGGGATGGTAACGGAAGAGCTGCTGATGCAGGTGAGGAGATCACAGGAAGGAAGGGAGAATGGTTAAAATTCGCCAGGCAGGGCAGTCCAGGGAACGGCACTTCAGGTGAAAGGAATGGCAGAAGCAAAGGCAGGGAGGTGGGGAATTGCACGATGCACGTGGACCAGACAGTATGTGGAGGAGAATTATAGGAGTTGAGGAAAGAAAGGTAAGTCGAGGCCAGATCTGAACTTGGGTAGGGAAAGGGCATCTTGATCACCAAGCCAAGCAGCCCAGGCTGTCTTCTGCAGGCCACATGGCAACCGTCAGAGATGCTGAGGTGTGCACACCTGTGGCCAGGTCTCCCTAACGTCCATGGGAAGGAAGAAAACACACCTGCCTCACTCCTCTCCCAGCAGTGGGTCTGCGGAACGGACGCCAGCGAGTGTGAACAGGGACTGACTTGGGCCCCTCTGTGTGAGAAATTCACATCTAGAAACATGAGGCTGAACCTCTCTATCAACAGATCAAGCAAGGCAAATGCCAGCGCACCCTTGGATGCTCCGGACAACGTACAGAGAGCCTGATGGACAATGTGCTGTCGAGGAAAAGAATGAGTCTCTCTCAAAACCCCATGAGGATCCAGTACAGGCAAATTCTAGAGACAGAACGCAGACTGAGCTCGCCAGGGGTTAGGGGAGGGGAGATGGAGAGTGACTGGTAATGGGTGTGGGATCTCCTTTTGGAAGGATGAGAATGTTCTCGAACTAGACAGAGATGGTAGGTGCACAATGTTGTAAATGTGCTCAATGCCACTGAACTGTACATTTAAAAAAAAAATTTTTTTTAATGTCTGTTAATTTGAGAGGGGGGTGGGGATGGGCAGAGAGGGGGAGACAGAGGACCCAAAGCACGCTCTGTGCTGACAGCTCAGAGCCTGGAGCTGCTTCAGATTCTGTGTCTCCCTCTCTGTCTTCCTGTCTCCCGCTTGCACTGTCTCTCTCTCAAAAATACATAAACATTAAAAAAAAAAAAAAGAATAAAAATCTTTTGGGGCACCTGGGTGGCTCAGTCGGTTAAGCATCTGACTCTTGATTTGGCTCAAGTCATAATCTCACAGTTCATGAGTTCAAGCCCTGTGTTGAGCTCTGCACTGATGGATCAGAGCCTGCTTGGGATTCTCTCTCTCTCTTCCCCTCTCTCTGCCCCTCCCCTGCTGGTGCACTCTCTGTCTCTTTCTCAAAATAAAAAAATAAACTTTAAAAAAATAAAAATCTTTTAAAAAGACAGATGTGTGCTGGAAAGGCCTCTTAGCATCCAGAGATCTCTGCTGGGGGTGCCTGGAGTGAGGGTAAGGGTCTGGGAAAACAGGAGGCCTCTCCCCCAAGTCAGTCAATGGCATTGAAAGGCACCTCCTTGGGCCTTCGAAGTGACCTCGAGCATCCCCAGACACAGCGCCCCACATTTTGGAAAACCTCATTTCCCATCTCCCCATCTCCGCCGTGAACAGACCACCAGAGCAAACACGAAGACCCCCGTCTCTATAGACCCTCAGTAAAGGGGGAGCCACCATGCCAGGCCCTTGAACGTGGCGAATCTCAAACAAGCCCCCAGTGTGCGTCCAAGCCTGCGGAAACCTAAAGTGAGTGGGCCCAATGTGCCGTCACTTGCCTCGGTCGCTAAGCAAGCCTGATTTTTCCTGCCACACATGCATGTGCCCCTTGCTATTTTATTTCCAAACAGCATGGGCAATACGCAGGCGGCCTTTTATCGCTTTATGGTGCACCCAGCCAGGCTGAACTGCCCAGGATCGCCAGATTACGATTAAGAGGCTCTGCTGAGCACGTCTGAGGACCTTACACAGCACAAGGTCGGAGGAAGACTCTCAAGTCCTTTGCGTCCAAGAAATTTTCAAAGCCCTACAGGGAAATGTGCGCTATTTCTTATCTTCAGACAAAAGGTCACAGAAATGCAGACAGAGCTGTGCCGAGAGACATGTACAGTAACATGCCCGGCCGCTCGAGGCCAATGGTCAAACGACAGGGACTCAGATGCCCGTGAATGGCAGAAAAGATAAGGAAGCAGGTGTGTTTCCGCAATGGCCTTCTAGACAGCAATGAACACAGTGCTTACAACACCCCTAACAGGGAGGGGACCTCATCAAGGCAATAGTGGGTGAAAGAGGCCAGGAAAAAAGAATAAAGGAGAATATGTTGTGGGCAAGGCCGTGCTGCTGGCCAGTGACTGGGAGGAAACGGGGGGCGGGGGACCCACTCCTGTGCTGTTTCATCATCTTAGAGCTGGTTACATGGGTGAGTGCACTCTGTAGAATTTCAAACTGCGCATGTTGCTTTATGTGCAACATATATGTTGTATATATACATGTATATAGGGACCTCTCTATACACGTGTTTTTCTCAGCATAAAAGGAAAAATCGCATTTATACATATTTTAAAATTCCCTTGCACTTTTTTTTTTAAAGTTTATTTATTTAGTTGGGCAGGGGGCCAGGGGGCAGAGGAGGAGAGAGAATTCCAAGCAGGCTCCATACTGTCAGCACAGAGCCCCACGCGGGACTCGAACCCACACACCCTGACACCATGACCTGAGCCCCTATTAAGAGTGGGGCAATCGCGGCACCTGGGTGGCTTAGTCGTAACGCGTCCGACTTTCGCTTAGGTCATGATCTCGCGGTTCGTGGGTTCGAGCCCCGCGTCGGGCTCTGTGCTGACTGCCGGCTCAGAGCCTGGAGCTTGTTTCGGTCTGTGACTCCCTCTCTCTCTGACCCTCCCCTGGTCACGCTGTCTCCCTCTCTCTCTCTCCTAGAAATAAATAAAGCATTAAAAAAAAATTAAAAATAAATAAGAGTGGGACGCTCAACCCAGGGGCCCACCCAGACGCCCCCAAACCCCCTTGCACTTCTGAAGTCGTCCGGGCAGAAGTGCTACGGTGAGACCGCGCACACCTCGCCCCCAGCCCTCTGAGGCGGACGCACACGCGGCCTGTGCCTGGCGGGCGCCCACTTCCTCCCGGAACCTACACCCCATCTCGGGCGGCAGCGCTCGGCTCACGGCTGGGCGCGTGCCGGCCCCGCCCACGGAGCCAGGGGCTGAGCCAATCAGCGCAGCCCGTGGCCGCAGCCGTTGGGTCCCGCGAGGCAAGGCGGGCCAATCGGAGTGACCCCTGCGGCTTCGCTGGTTTCGTCCACGGAGCCAGGGGCTGAGCCGGCGACGCGGCCTGGCCAATCAGCGCAGCCCGTGGCCGCAGCCGTTGGGTCCCGCGAGGCAAGGCGGGCCAATCGGAGTGACCCCCGCGGCTTCGCAGGAGGCCCCGCCTACGGTGGCAGGGGCTGAGCCGGCGACGCGGCCTGGCCAATCAGCGCAGCCCGTGGCCGCAGCCGTTGGGTCCCGCGAGGCAAGGCGGGCCAATCGGAGTGACCCCCGCGGCTTCGCAGGAGGCCCCGGCTCGCGTGGCCGCGTTTGAGCGGGACCCCCGGAGCGGGCAGGGCGAGCGCCTTCCTGGCGGCGGAGGCTCCGCTCCGGAACCTGTAGCCACGCAGACCGCGAAAGGCCCTTTCAGCCTAATCCGCTTGCTGAAGCCTTGTCACCTGCCACAGCGCACGGGGCCCCGCCCGGCGAGGCTCTGCGGGCGCCCCCGCCCCCCGGCAGCAGCGCCCACGGGCCCCACTGACGGACGGAGTCAGCAGACGGCCTCGGCAGAGGAGCTGTGTCCAGCCCCCAGCTCCAAGCCCTTCGCCCACCCAGCACCCCGTGCCGCCTGAGCCTGGGGAGGTCGTCCAGCCTGCAGGCAAGTCCTTCCCCCCAGCGCTGCGGCCACCCCCCCCCCGATCCCCGCCTCCAGCTGGAAATGTGGTCTCGGCCCGATGGGCCCCCAGAATTCCTTGTCCTACCAACCGTGTGACCTCGGGCCATGTCCCAGCCCTGGGCCCCGATGTCCGAGGTGCACGATTCGCCCACACACCCATGCCTCCAAATACTCCCTACCCGGCACGGTTCTAGAAGCTGAGGACAGAGGCCTGCCGAGAACATTTACAGTCTACTGAAAGACACAGACAAATAAATACAAAGAAACAAAACAAAATACACAGTCGGTGAGCTCAGGGAGCGCCGGGCACCATGAACACAATAAAGGGTGAAGTGACTGAGAACAGCCAGTAGGGGCAACTTTACCATGGAAATCAGAGCAGGCCACCTGGAGGAAGCGGCACCTGAATAGACCCAAAGGGAGGGAGGGAATGATCCACATAGATCCACATGGATATCTAGGGAAAGAACTCTCAAGGCAGGGGAACAGCTGATGCAAAGGGCCTGAGGTAGGACCAAACTTGATATATTCTAGAAATGGTGAGAAGGCAATGGGGCTGAAGACTAGTTAGTGAGGGAAGTACAGGAAGAAATGATATCAGAGGGCCTGGCACAGGCCAGATCCTACGGAGCACGGAGGCCAGGGTCAGGGCTCCACCATGTGTCACGGGGAGGCTGTTAGACATTTGAAGCGAAGGGTTGGCCAGCAATCTGCGTTTTAAGGATTTTTTTTTTAATATTTTTATTTATTTCTAGGAGAGAGAGAGAGACAGCGTGAGCAGGGGAGGGTCAGAGAGAGAGGGAGTCACAGACTCTGAAACAGGCTCCAGGCTCTGAGCTGCCTGTCAGCACAGAGCCCGACGCGGGGCTCGAACCCACGAACCGTGAGATCATGACCTGAGCGAAAGTCGGACGCTTAACCGACTAAGCCACCCAGGCGCCCCAATCTGCATTTTAGAAAGGTCCCTGGGGCTGCTCTCTGGGACAGTGTCCAACAGGCCTTTCCACAACAACAAAAATGTCCTCCTGTGCTGGCTGTCCTGTACAGAAGTCACTAGGCACAGGTGGGTGGTGAACCTCTGAAAGGCGGCCGGAGGGGCCGGGACCACGAGGAGACAGGGGCCCGGGAGGGAGGGAGGAGTCCCTTCACCGTTCCATCGACTAGCAGAGGCGACCGGCTCGCTGATGCGCAGGGTGAGGGCGAGAGGAGGGCACTGGAGGTCACAGCCAAGAGCCCAAAATGCACAGCTGAGGCGGACGTCCTGGGGGCTGGCAGCGCCTGCGCCCGCACCCCACCCCGCAAGCACACACCACGGAACGAGATTTCACGGATCACCCGGACCCTCGGCGGCTTCCTCTCCTCCCAACATGGGACAAAGGGCCCTTCGCACGAAGCTGCAGCCTCAAGGAGCGTCTCCCGGGGCGCCTGGGTGGCTTAGTCGGTTAAGCGTCCGACTTTCGCTTGGGTCATGATCTCGCGGTTCGTGGGTTCGAGCCCCGCGTCGGGCTCTGTGCTGACTGCCAGCTCAGAGCCTGGAGCCTGCTTCAGAGTCTGTGACTCCCTCTCTCTCTGACCCTCCCCTGCTCACGCTGTCTCTCTCTCTCTCTCCTAGAAATAAATAAAACATTAAAAAAAAAAAGGAGCGTCTCCCGGCGTGGCAGCCACGAGGCCCTCCCCAAAGCCGTCCGCGAGCCTGCGAACATGTTAGGTCCCACGGCGAAGGGGAACAGAGGCTGCAGGTGGAATTAAGGTTGCTAATCAGGCCGGATTATCGTCAGAGGGCGGGGGGAGTACAGTCTCTGGGGTCTTTAAACCGGAAAAGGGAAGCAGAAGAGATGTGGGATCAGAGACGACCTCAGACACGGGATCAGAGAGACGTGGTGTTGCTGGCGGTGAGGATGGAGCCAAGGACTTGTGGGCGCCTCAGAAAGAGCAACCCGTGGGTCTCCCCTCGAGGGTCCAGCAGGGATGGTGTCAGCATGCTGACATGTGGCCCCATGCCTGGCGAGGCCTGACTTCTGAACTATTAGAGATAATGAATTCATCGTCTCTCTAAGCCACTAAGGCTGTGGGAACTTGTTAGGACAGCCACTAATAAACACGGCATGTTTTTTTTCCCAGGTTATCTTTCTGGTGCCCTCCGTATCTCTGGCCGATTAATGGGATTATCAAGAGTGCAGAGGCCAGAGATTAAGCAGATGGTGGCGAAGGCGGCGCAGGGACAGACAGATGCCTCATCACACCACGGCCTCCCGCCCTCCCTCCCACGGGGGAAGATACTTACTGAACCTGCAGGTGCTCATGTTCTGAATCCCAGACTTCATGCAGGGGCAGAAGCCCTCGTTGGGTGGGTAGACAGAGCCATTGGCAAATAAGGTGCTGGGGGCCACGAAGCGGTAGGTGGGGATGCCTTCAAATATCCCCGACTCTTTGTAGATTAGGTTCATGGACCTGCATAGGACAAATGGGGTGCAGGATGACATCCCAGACATGGCGGCCAGACCACAGCCCCAGCTGATCCGCGCCTCACTGCGCTGTCGCACCCCCCTGCCCCCTCCCTGCACTGCCACCCCCCAGGTCCCAGCAGCCTCTGTCACTCACCCGGGAAACTGCGAATTGCTATCCCTGCCTCCCCGCCCACACCCATCTGGTCTCCACAAGCAGACGGCAATTTAAAATAAGAACACGGTACGTCATGTCCCCACTTAAAATTGCAATTGCTTACAGGGGCAACTGGGGGGCTCAGTCGGTTGAGCGTCCGACTTCGGTTTGGGTTGTGATCTCCCGGTTTGTGGGTTTGAGTCCCTCATCAGGCTCTGTGCTGACAGCTCAGAGCCTGGAGCTGCTTCAGATTCTGGGTCTCCCTCTCTCTCTGCCCCTCCCTGTCACACTCTTTCTCTTTCTCATAAATAAATAAATAAACATTAAAAATAAATAAATTGATAAGAATATTTTAAAAACTACAATTGCTTCGAGTCTTTTTAATTTTTTTAACATTTTTTTTTAAGAGGCAGAATGTGAGCAGGGGAGGGGCAGAGAGAGAATCTGAAGCAGTCTCCAGGCTCCGAGCTGTCAGCACAGAGCCCGACCCGGGGCTCGAACTCATAAACCATGAGATCATGACCTGAGCTAATGTCAGATGCTCAACCGACTGAGCCACCCAGACTGAACCCCATCATTTGCTTCCAGTCTTACCTAGATTTGAGATTCACCATCCTCACCATGGCCACCAAGCTTCTTTGAGGTGCAGCCCCTAAACTATACCCCACGGGCCTCCTGGCTATTGCTCAGATGTGCTCCCCCCTGCCCCTGGGCCTTTGTATCTGCTGCTCCATCTGGCCTCCCTTTGCTGATCACACATCAGACTTCAGCTGTCACCTCCTCAGGCAGCAGCACCATGCCCTCCCCACCCCCCCATTCACCCTGCTGTATTTCTCAAAGGCACTTCTAAACTTGAACATGGACTCTGGATTACAACTGTGCGGTCCATGGAGTCCACCTGTCACACACGCCCCTCGGATGGGGCGAGTCTGGGTGGGACCCGCCGTGAGTACAAAATACATCCCAGATTTCTACAGCTTGATACAAAAAAGAAAAAAGTGAAACATCTCAGTAACATTTAATGTTGTTTACACACCGAAATGGTAATATTCTGGATATAGCGGGTCAAATAAAACCTATCGTTAAAATTAACGTCATATACTTCTTGTTACTTTTTTTTAACGCAGCCACCAGAACACCTGAACTTGCAATCAGGACTGGCGTTTCTGGGGGGCAGCAGCGGCCCAGACCACAGTGTGAACGCGGATGCTAGATTTCTTCATTTTCCTGACGGGAACGTGGTTGTGCAAGAAAACGTCCTTGTGTTTAAAAAACGTCCTTGTCTTTAGAAAACGCCCACTGAAGCACTGAGGCATCCAACTTACTCTCCAGCGGTCGAGGGAGGTGGACCCAGGGGCTGGGGGCTCACGAGAGAGCACATAGGGCAGAAAGGAAACGATGCCCAGACGGGGTGAAATGGCACTTTCTCGCAGCTTGGCTCTGGGCACAGCAAAGGCATTTCCAGCTCCCTGACTCTGCCCTGGGTGGGGGAGGGGGGCTCTGCCTGAGTCTCCTGCCAGGACATAAGTTCCAGGATGGCCCTGCTCATCCCTGTAGCGGCCCGGAACCTGGCGCCGCTCAGCTCCATGCAGGGGGCGGCAGGGGGGCCGGAGTGCACACCGGTGGGTTCCCTAGTGAAACCTCTGTCCAGGGCAGCCTGGCCGGAGCAGTACCAGCCAGCGCCCCAAGGAGAGCTTGGGGTCCACCGTCTATCCTCACCCCCAGCAGGGCCCCCAGAATCCCTTAAGCCTCCAGGGCCACACTCCGGAGCCTGAAGAGGCTGTAGGAGAGGCATCTAGATATCTCAGCATCCAAACAGCTGGACAGACGCCACAGGGAGCCCCTGCTCATCTCATTCCCAGCCCCTGAGACCCTATGGCTTCCTGCCCCGGCTGCCGCCGCCACCACGCCGACCACCGCCTGCAGCCTCTCCGGGCGCAGGAGGGGTGTGGCTCTTCGTGGTGTAACCAAAGAGAGTGCCGGATGGTGCCAAGGGCCCACGGACACACAAAGACCCAAACCTGCTGCCCAAGTGCACGCCGGAAGCCACTCGATTAGACTGTGAGCATCCAGGAAGCCACTTTCCACTGCCCGGGGAAGGCCCAGAACGTCCCAGCAATTACCGGCAGGCCTCGGGGCTGTAGAATTCCAGTGAGGTCTCCGGAGTCATGAACGGCGCCCACATCTGTCCAGAAGTCCCATTGATCATGTTGCACTGATCAGAATGCCAGTACCTGACCTGGGGGGGAAGCGTGCAGACGTTCCCGTTGAGTTCAGCGACGACCCGACCCGGGGCGGCGACCGCCTGGGCCCCAGGGTGAACGGCACCCCTCGAGTCCAGAAGCCAGTCCCAGGGGAGGCGAACGGGCAGGGCACATGGACACCCAGAGAGTGTCGGCGACGGCTCCCCGCTCGCTAACGGGGACCTCTGAATGTGCCCATTTGCCCGGGACTCAGTGACTTTATCTAAAATCACCCCCATCTCCAAGGGACACAGGGAGCAGGAGAGGAGGGAGCGGGGGGTGACTCTGGCCTCCTCGCCTCTCAGAGAGGAAATCACCAGAATGCAGATAAAGGGAGGGGGTAAGTAAAATATTTACCGTGTTTACTGTAAAACATTTACAATAAGTAAAATGTTTAAAATCATAAGGGTGATTTTCTCAGGAGCTGCCTCTGGGAAGCGAGGCCTGGCAAGAAGAAAACCAGGCTTCCCCTTTCTGCCCCCCACTCCCCCCGCCCCGGACCATCAGAGAGTGCCTTGCCGTGTGCACGCGTGCATTTGTGCACTGAAAACACAAGGCAGAGGCGGTGGAGAGGGTTGTTAACGACTGTGAATGGTGCTCTGGCTGCTCTGAGCACAGGGGGGAAGGGGGGGTACTGCTGGCCCCCCGAGCCCAGGGCTGGACACCGGCAGTCCGGGTGAGCGCTTGAGAGCTGTGAGCAACACCAGTCGCTGCTCACTGTTCCCACGCACAGCCAGAAAGGGCACGTAAGGTGGAAAAAAGCCAAGTTGCAGAGCGATGCACGTAGTCTGATTTTATCATGCTCGAAGCAGCACACCCGCCACGTTCCTTTGCTCACACGCGGGTGTGGAACGGAGGTGGCCAGGAAGACTGTACCCCACACCGCGCTCCGTGGGCTCCCTCTGTGCCCAGGGTGCAGGGGGCCTGGCCTGGGAGGCGGTGCAAAGGGCACTTTCTCTATGTCTCTACTGATTTATGTATTTAAAAAAATATTTTTTTAATCTTTGTTTATTTTTGAGAGACAAAGACAGAGTGCAAGCAGGGAGGGACAGAAAGAGAGGGAGACACAGAATCCAAAGCAGCTCCAGGCTCTGAGCTGTCGGCACAGAGCCCGACAAGGGACTTTGACTCACAGATCATGAGAGCATGACCTGAACCGAGATAGGATGCTTAACCGACGGAGCCACCCAGGCGCCCTTCTATCTTATTAACTTTTTAATGGGCGTATCCTCCTGAATTTCTGGTGTAATTCTATCTTTTGATGCAATGGCTGGTTATACGATCAGCGTAGTCTTTTTGAAACATTTTTGTAAGTTAAGAACAAAAAAGAGCAAGAACTCACTGCCTGGTATACACTAGGTGCTACATAAATGCTACATTAGGTGCTACATACACTAGGTGCACACTAGGTGCTAAATAAGCAAAGCCTCTACTCCCCACCCACGCGTTCAGAACAGGAGCCGGTTGTGCCTGAACCACAGGCAGAATCCCCGACTTGAAGGACGGTCTCCACCACAGATGCAAACGCCCCCCAGGATTTCAAGGGAAACAAGGAGCCCGGCGCAGGGGGTCCCCGCTGCTCCTGCCCCGCCCCCGAGCAGGGGCCCCTCGCTCTCACCTTGCTAAGCCCGTTCCACTTGTCCACCAGGTGGATCCTGTTGAAGTCTTTGACCCCCGTGAACACGGTGAAGACCCCGGAATCGGAGTTGTTCATCTGTGGACAACGACAGAGAACAGGGTCCTTAAGCCTCACGACATGGGCAAAGGCCCCGGGGCCCGGTCCTCGAGCCCACCCGTTTATTGAGAGGCCATTCCCCGCCTCACCCACAGGGCGGGGGCCTCCATATTCCTGTTCACCGCTCTGTCCCCGGTGCCTGGGGACCAAGAGGAGGGTGAATTTTTCTAGAAGAGGCACTTGATTGCAGCGTCCCTCTTAGAAAGTGTCCCACCTTCCCTTCCTGACTCAAGGAGAGTCTGCTGTTCCTCCCCGGTGAATCGCAGAAAGCTCCCCTCCCCCCAAACTTAAAATAAAGCATGGTCATGTGACCCCTCCCATCAACGAAAAAGAAGCGGATGGGGCATGCCACTCCCCGGTGGAAGCTTAGGAGCCAGCGCATGCACATGTCACCGTGCTCTCTGCCGCCGCCGCAGGGGCCGTGGAAGTGTGTGTCAAGCTGCTGCCTCCCTCAGCCTGGGCCCCTGAAGTGACCAAAAAGAGCAGAGGGCCCCCTGGTCACCCACACTGGACACGGTGTAGAAGCAAGGCATAAACTTACTGTTTCAAGCCTCTGAGATTCTGGGGCTGCTTGTTACACAGCAGAACCTGGTCTATCCTAACGGTTACAGGACCTAATGTTTATTATTGAGCATTTTCTGGATAGAAAGCCCCAGGCTTTGGCACGCTGAGGATATTTCCTATTTCCTAGAAACGGAGTCCTAATTCACAGCAAAGACATGCAAAACATACAGAGAAATGAGTGACTGTAGAGTGAAATCTAGAAGCCTCCTCTTCCTCCCTCGTGACAAAACCCAGACTTTACTCAGGGCATCAGCACAGCAGCCCTCAGCTTTCAGCCTGTTAGGCTACATTTCCCAGCTTCCCTTGCAGTTAGGTGTGGCCACTTGACTAAGTTCTGGCCAATGGAAAATAAGTGGAAACTGCTTTCCTGCCTTCCGAAGAAGGACACAGCTGTGACACGCTGTTTCCTCCCCAACGCCTGCCTCTCCATCCCCAACCACGTCTTCCTTCCCATGCTGCTTCCCGGGATGTGGATGCGGCTGCTGGCGCTCCAGCAGCCATAGAGGACCTTGTGGTAACCTGGAGTAGGAAAACCACACCGTAAGGAGGGCGGGGCAGAGTGGCAGAACTCCAGATCCCTGAAGGACACGGACACACCACGTCAACACTGAAAAGTCACCCCTGGAACCTCATTTCGGGGTTTCCATTGCACACAGACATATATACGCTACGCGCTTTGTAGTAATTCTCATTCGTTTACGAGGTTGTAAGACGCTTTGAAAGGAATCGTGTCACTTAGCCGCAAACCTGCCAGCTTACCCACTCGGAACCTGTCAAAAGGTACTGGACATCTATCAAGAGTCAGGTGCAGAATCACCGTTTGTGTCTCCTGCGCCCCCCGGCACAGGTCAGCGGAGCCCGAAGGGCGGGCTGAGGCCAGAGCCGCTCGGAGGGCTCATTAAAGCTATAGCAGAGAGAGCCAAGGTCAGGCTCTACATGGGATCACAGCTCAGGAGCCCGATCCCTCCCAGACTATGAGGGGTCAAGATGAAGAAGCAAGCAGGCAGCTCGGAGCAACGTCAGAGTCAACAGCTCGTGACCTGCCTGCCTGGCCGCCCGTCTCCATTCTCCCACCAGCCGCCCACAACTGTCCAAGCTCAGCGCCGTCGCACCGCCTGAGCCTTGATCGAGCTGCACCAAAATACAAGCCTGGCGCCTCTGGTTCTACGAGCCAGCAAACTCTTTCTTTCTCTTAAGCCATCGTGAATTAGGTTTTCGGCCATTTACAGCCTGGCGCGCCCCTGGGTCCCCAGCCAGTTTCAGACGCAGGCGCTGCCGGCCCATCTTCCAGGCTGTGTCACGGAGGAGGAGACACGGGCCCCGAGCTGCTCGCTGGGCCACACTTACCTCCGCAAAAAGCCCGAACTTGCCCTTGAAGGGAAACGCGTTGGGGAAGTACTTGTTGATGAGGTGCACCAGCGGGTCCTCGTAGCCCCACATGATCTCGCCTACGGTACGGTTCATGAAGGCGCGCTCTCCCAGGGTGCTGAACGCCAAGGTCATCATCAGCTTCAGGCTCATGGGCTTATTCTCCATCATCATCGCCGCGCCCTGCAGAGCACAAAGACACCACAGGCTAGACACACCCAGTCCGTCCACCCCAGACTCCAGGCTGGGCTCAGGCCAGCCCACCACCGGCTTGTGCGCAGTCTGAGAGCTAAGAATGTCCTTTTATATTGTTTATGTTTGTTCGTTTTTGAGAGAGAGACCACGGCGGGCAGGGGCAGAGAGAGACGGAGACAGAAAATCCGAAGCGGGCTCTGTGCAGACAACAGGGAGCCCGACGCGGGGCTCAAACTCACAAACTGTGAGATCACGACCTGAGCTGAAGTCGGACGCTCGACCGACTGAGCCCCCCAGGGTGCCCCATATTTTTATATTTTCAGATAGTTGAAGAAAAGAGTATTCAAACAAACGAAAATCATACGAAACTCACATTCAGTGTCCACAAAGTAAAGTTTAATTAGAACATAGCCTTGTCTACCCATTTATGTTGTCTTTGGTTTTCCGTTGGAAGGCAGTGTGACTAGTTCCACAGGGACTACGTGGCCCTCAACGCCTAAAATACTTACTATCTGGCCCTTTACAGAAGTGTGCCCCCCTGTTCAAAAAGCATATAAAAGCACATGTGTGCAAGTGGGTGTGGATGCAAGTACTTCTCTTTATAAACAGTAAGAGCATCTTGCTTGGGTCCTATACCTGCCTTTCTCCCACTTACATATACCGTCGGGGCTGCTCTCTGCCACCGCCCACAGCCCCGTCCCCTCTTGCTGGGCCGGGTCCTGGCCCACCGCCAGGCTGCAATAAATTACCACAATGAACCTGCACATGGCTGAACGGTATTTGTTTCTAGATGTTTGCTCTGACAGGTTGCCGAAAGAATATCTCTGAGTACAAACATCTTCTTTTTGTGTTAATCTATCAAGAGGGCACAGGGGCGCCAGGGCGGCTCAGTCGGTTAACCATCCGACTTCAGCTCAGGTCGTGATCTCAAGGTTCTTGATTTCGAGCCCCACGTCGGGCTCTGTGCTGACGGCTCAGAGCCTGGAGCTGCTTCGGAGTCTGTGTCTCCCTCTCCCTCTGCCCCTCCCCCGCTCCTGCTCACTCTCGCTCGTGCTCTCTCTCTCTCTCTCAAAAATAAGTAAATGTTTAAAAAAAAAAAAGGACCCATTACACGTGAAATTTCTGAGGCCAAAAGCGTGTGCGATTTAAAGCTACAGTGACCACCTCCCAACGGCCCCCACCAGTTCCTCCCGAAGGACGGGGGAGTGTCCGTTTCCAGAAATGCTCCTGAGCCCGGGAACCATGCGGCCTTTGCCAACCTGCTCAGTGGGGCAAAGTGTCTCCGCTGCCAAAACGTAAGCATCTAACTGAGGGGAGGCAGCCATGAGCCTTCGGGGACACATTTATTGGTCTGTCCATGGAACGGATGCAGCAGGTGAGTTTGCCTCAGACCCGGGGTCCAGCCGAGGGCCAGCCCCAGGACCCCTGACGAGCAGACGAGGTCGTACGTGCAAGGCCCACAAACGCTAAGTGTGTCAGCAGAAAGTTAACACAACAGGCCTGAGGCTCCTCTCTCTAGAACCGCAAAACCGGCCCCTGGCTGGCCTCCGGGAACACAGGTTTCCAGGGAGTTCCCACCGCTCTCCGACAGATAAGGGGGGGCTCTCTGAGCCTGGACTGTTTGTACCAACAGTATGACATCCACCGAACCCCGCTTTCTGCATGGGGATCTGAATTTCAGGAGGAGCCAGGCAGGAGGTGCCTTGTGATGAGCCCGTAGTGCAAACCCTGGGCACCGAGCCTCTGGCTGTGTCCTGGGGGGGGGGGGGGGGGGGGGGGGGGCTTCACAGGTGCAGTCACAGCCTGTCGCTGGGGGAGCTGGGGGCGTCCTGGCCTCCACCCCACGCGCCCTTTCCCTTTGCTGACTTTGTGCCGCACGCTCCTCTGTAAGAAATCCCAGCAGAGTCCCGCGAGCCCTCCCAGCAAGCCTGGAGGGGGGCTGGGGACCCCGCACGGGGTGCAGTCAGCAAAGCCAGCAATGGCGATGACCCCACCGCAGAAAACGGGGGCCCTGCCTGCAAGTGCTTCAGACAGTGACACGACCTGGGAGCCCTAGAAGCCCCCCGCCAGTACCCCCTTTGGGACATGTTACATTTGTAGACTAAGAAGGAACAGACACGGGGCGCCTGGGTGGCTTAGTCGGTTAAGCATCCGACTTTCACTCAGGTCATGATCTCACAGTTCGCGGGTTCGAGCCCCGCGTCGGGCTCTGTGCTGACTGCCAGCTCGGAGCCTGGAGCCTGTTTCCAAATCTGTGTCTCCCTCTCTCTCTGACCCTCCCCTGCTCACGCTGTCTCTCTCTCTCCTAGAAATAAATAAAACATTAAAAATTTCAAAACAAAAAAAAAAGAGAGACAGACAGGACATCTGCCGGGACCCCCAAACCAGAGACAGGCAGATGCACTGAGGAAACTCGTGGGTGGTGAGGCGGGCCATGCAGGGGGCAGGCGAGAAGAGGGCCGGAAGCCCTCGGGGCCCAGGGGAAGGGCGGGTGCGGGGCGCGGCCCCGGCAGCCTTACCAGGACCAGGATGTTGGGCATGACGATGTAGTCGCTCTCCAGGCCGTGGGACCTTTCGGGCTGGAATTGGAAGCTGCGGTACTCGAGGAACGACACGGTGTCATTGTCGTTGAACGTGATGTTGCTCTTGTGCCTGAACTCCCTGCGGGCGGGGAGGCCGGCGGTCAGCGCGTCCCGGCCACACAGGCCCCTGCGGCCCCCGGCCGCCTCCGCGAGGCCCCTCCGAGCCACCCCGAAGAGCCCCCCAATCCCACACGGCCCTCCGCGCAGCCGAGCGCCGCCGGCCTCCCCGGCCTCCCCCTCCCGCTGCGGCGTGGCGGCTCTTCCGAGGGACGCAGCGTAGCACAGTGGTTAGGAGTGCGCACTCTGGGGACAGAGGGCCCTCCATGACTTACTACCAGGGCCTCAGCCTTCCCACCTATAAAATGGGAGTGATAAGAAGACCCACTCCGTAGGGCGGTGGTGAGGACTGAGTGGGTCAGTGCATGCGGCCCGAAGCATAGGAGACGCTGTGTAACTATGTTGCTGTCGTTACTCTCTCTGGCTCTTCATTCTCTACAAAGCATCCAGAGAATGTCTGAAAACTGGAAATCAGATCCATGCCCTCCCACCAACAAGCCACCTGTGCAGACAGGATAAAATCAAGCTCCTAACGTGGCCTCTGAGGTCCTCGACACCCAACCCCACCCAATGCTCTGGCCTCGTCTCTGCCACTGTCCCCCCTCACTCACCCCCGGCCGGCCGCTCAGGCCTCCTCTCCCCGGACCACCAGACTCTGCCTGTCTCAGGACCTTTGCACCAGCTGCCGCCTCTGCTCGGGACCCTCCTCCCCCAGATCGTCACACAGCGGCACCCCCTTCTCATCACTCAGGCCAAGGGAAGCACCCCCCGGCAGAGGTGCCCCCATGACCCTCCAGCTAGACCAACCCTGCTCACACCCCGCCCTCCAGCACTCTCCACGTTCACCTGCTTGGCTCTCGCCACACTTACAGCCACCTGATTTGCCCACATGTTTACTCTCTCCCGTTGGATGTCAGCTCTGTGAGGCTTGGGTCTGCCTTTCCCAGTGACTGGCACAGTGCCTAGCATGCAGGAGGTGCCCAATAAACGCTTCCGGAAGGAAGAAAATGATATGAACTTTGGCAAAGGAGGCTCAGCTCCGAAGCCGTTCACGGACAAGTTCGGCTGGCAGTTCTGTGACGTGACTCGTCCCAGAAGGCGGAACGGGCAGGGGCCGGGAACTGGGTCTCACACCGGAACGGCCCTCCCTCTTCTCTCGGAAAACTGCTCCGGTCGATTCAACAAGCCGCGCTCCCCCAAAAACCAGGATCCAGCGAAGGGGGCCACACAGCAGCTGCGACGATGCGCCAGCCACGGACGTGTACTGGGCACTACTGCATGCCAGGCACCGTGCCAAGGGCTGCCCGCGATCCCACCCAGTCCTCGGGACCTCACAGCCACCCCAGGGTGGATGCTGTTATCGCCATTTCACAAATGGGGAAACTGAGGCACAAGGAAAGCCCACCCCTTCCTGCAATCAGAAAGCCGCAGTTCTTAACCCCAGGAGGTCTCTCTCCGGAGTCTGTGGTCTCAACCACTGGACACTGGACTGGGGAAAGCAGGGTGACCTTGAGCGAGCCCCTCTACCACTAGGGGCCTCCGTTTCCTCATCTGTAAAATGGGGTGATGACCCAGCCCCCTCACCCCGCCCAGGGCAGCCCACCTGAGAGGCCGGCCCCAGCCCGCTCCGTCCTCACCTGTACACGTAGGGCCCGCGCTCCCGCACCTGCGGCTTCTCGCCCGAGAGGATGGCGCTGGGGTTGACAACGTCGAAGAAGTAGACGGACAGGTAGAAGGGGACGGGGATCTCCTTCCACATGTTGAAGGACAGGCTAGTGGGGTCGATGCGCACATTCTGTGGGGAAAAAACAAACACGTCCGTGAGGAGAGTGACCCGTGCCGCCCCCCCACCCCACGCAGCCAGAGCAGTGCCCAGAGCCGCTGGCGCCGCTGGGCTGCACCCGCAAGGGGTTCCCTGCACACACTGCGTCCACCCACAGGCACGAAACTCCTGCTGTCGCTTTGTCTTTTTTTAAAGATTTTTTTTCATGTTTACTTATTTATATTTGAGAGAGAGGGAAAGAGCGAGCACAAGAAGGGGGAGGGACAGAGAGAGAGCGAGACACAGAATCCGAAACAGGTTCCAGGCTCTGAGCTGTCAGCGCAGAGCCCGACGCGGGGCTCAAACCCACAAACCACGAGATCATGACCTGAGCCGAAGTCGGACGCTTAACTGACTGAGCCCCCCAGGCACCCCTGCTGTCGTTCTTCCATCGTGTTTCAGTAACAGTAACCTGATCAGAGCCCGGGAGACGGCTGCAGAAACGTGGGCTCCATGTGGCCAAACGGATCATTCATTCATTCATCAAAGTTTTACTGAGCACATACTGCATACCAGCCACTCTAAGAGCTGGGGATAACAGAGTGAACGGGACAGACCCCAATGCCCACCTCTGTGGGGTCCTTCATCTAGCAGGGGAAAGGCAGGTACTTGTTACACAAGAAGGTAACACATGTGCCGTGTGACAGGCAGGATGGGGAAGGCGGTTACAACTTTAAACAGAGTAGTCAGGCACAATGCCAGCAAAAGAGAACAAAAACAAAAACAAAAACAAAACAAAATAAAAACGAAAGGCAGTGAGGGGAACACACGCATTTGGTGGGAAGATGGCTGCACGTTGAAGCAGTGTCCGTGCAGAGGCCCTGACAGAGGTGCTCAGACAGAGCCCGTCCGTCAGATACACTGGCCTCTACTCCCTGCCTCGCTCCTCAGCTCTGCAAACCCCTGCTCGGGTGTCACAGGGAGGTCCCCCCGGTACCACCCAATCCAACCCCAACATGGGCCGGCCACCCCACGGGCCCCACAAGGCTCAGAGCCCGGGTCTGTCGCAGTGAGCCAGCCCATCAGACAGATGCCCGATATCCCACAGCTAGGGACAATGCAGCTTGTGTCGCTTCCACGTCCCTGTGAACATGGCCTTCCAGAACAAGGGCAGCCACCTCGACTGTGCTCAAACAGCCGGAACCAGCAGCCAGGGGCTCGAGAGGAGGCCGGTGCCAGCCAGGCCCGGCCCGAGGTCCCCAACAGGCAGCCTCTGGAAAGGAGCAGATTTGAAGGCAGCCAGATCCCAGGGCCACGCGGGCAAGACAGCCATCTCTGAACCTCGGTTTTCCCATCTGTACAATGGGGGCCAATGACCCTGTAGCCTCAGCTGTGCCTCATTTGACTGACCTGGCACTTAAATGAAGAAAAGTTGAATTCATTGCCAAGAATAAAAAAACTGGAAGATTCACCATAAAATTTGGATTTCGGGGTATAGTCATCATTTACTGATAACCACCTTTCCCTACCAGCCACGGAAGCCACAGGGACCGTTTTTATCACCCGACCCCTGATACACACAAATAAAGGCGCTTCATAAATGTGATGTGAACAAAGGATTCTGTGAAATCTCCTAACTGTTTCAATAGCAACAATTTATTTTTCAAAATCAAACACGCCCGGGAGCCACATCGCACACCTCACGGCCGCCCCTTTGCCACGCCTGCCGGAGCACCATCTGGAGGGGTGGCCCCACAGCTTCCGTGGGCGCGGGCGGGGCTGCTGGGAGGGAGCGGGGTCTCCCAGGATGGAAATCCTCAAATCCGCAGCAGGCCCACGGGGGGCGTCCCGATGTGCCCGTGGCCGCCATCCCCCTCCCAGAAACGACACGCACGGGGCTAGTGACTCGGGGTCCCTGCCTGTGCTGACTTCCGCCAGCACACTCCTCCTTCCTCCTGTGTGTGTCTGTGTGTGTGATAAAAACACGTAACACAAGATCTACCCTCTTAGCAAATATTTAAGTATATGATATGGTCCTGTTAACGGCAAACACTCTATGGTGTCTGGTAGATCGCTGGGCACACGGGTCTTGCAAAACTAAAAGTCTACGAGCAGCCACACGCAGAGTCGTGGACGTGATGGGTATCTTTGTGCACAGATTCCGGGGATGGTCTGGAGGGTGTATACGTACCTGCAAACTCATCGGGTTGTATGTTAAACACGTACAGCTTTTTAAAACGTTGATGACACCTGAATCAAGTGGTTTGTTTTTTTAACATTTCCGGTTCCTGCCTCCCCTGCCTCCCCAGCCCAGTTTCTCAGCTGGACCCGGAGAAGCCTTCGGAAGTCGGATTCCCAGAATCCCACCGCGCTCTCCTCATCCGCTGTCCGCCTCATCCTGCTGCGGGGACAAATCACGGCCCAAGAAATGAGTCACCAGATAAAGCCGAGTGTCCCTCTCTCTCTCCAGCAGAGGGGCTTTCGGGTTCTGGGGTTCCACCCCGTTCACCTGCTTGCTCACAGGGAATATTCGATGACCCCGCTCTGCCTTCTGGCTGGGTGATGCGGGTAAGTCATTGCTCCTCTGTGAACCCTCAACTTCCTCATCTCTTAAATGGGCATAATGATAGGGTCCACCTCACAGAGCTGGTGTGAGGTTTAAACGAGATTGTAGAGGCGAAGTGCTTAGAACAGGGGCATCCAGAAGGTCAGCCGCCAAGTAGTGACCCGGCATGAAGTGACTGACCCGTCACTGTCACTGCCCCACCCCCACCCCCAAGTGGGGACAGACTTTGCACCGCTTTTGACCGGCATCAGGACAGAGGCATCTGGCCAGAGCAGCTGATTAGATAGCAGCCCCAGCCATGCTCACGGCCTTTCGCCTGATATGGCCGATTCTACCCCCGCACACTCCCCCCAAGGTCAAAGATCACAGCCCAGACCACAAAGACAGGGAGAGAGGCCCAAGGTGAGCCCTTGCTGGACACGGCTGCCTCTCATCGAACCAGATCTGCCAAGAGCCTGTTCCTGGACAGTCAGGGAGGCTGCCCGGAAGAGGGGACACATGAGCAGAGTACTGAAAAGGTGAGCTGGGCTTTGCCGGGAAGAGAAGACACCAAGGGCATTCTGGGGGGGGGGGGGGAGGTGCGCGGGGATGCAGCTCTGTAAAAGCTAGGAAGCCTTTAGGAGCGTGACTTCCCTCAACGTCCATCAGCAATGAATAGGTTTTTAAAACATTTTATTTTAAAAATTTTTTTTAATGTTTATTTTTGAGAGACAGAGCATGAGCAGGGGAGGGGCAGAGAGTGAGGGAGACACAGAATCGGAAGCAGCTCCAGGCTCCGAGCTGTCAGCACAGAGGCCAATACGGAGCTTGAACCCACGAACTGTGAGATCATGACCTGAGCCAGAGTCGGATACGTAACTGACTGAGCCACCCAGGTGCCCCAAAACATATTTTGAAACACCTCAAATGTCCACCAACAGATAAACGAACCGCCACACATCCGAACAATGGAACCCTACTCGATCATAAACAAGAACCAACCACGGGTAAGTCCACCACACGATGAATCAAGAGCCTAAGTTAAGCAACAAAAGCCCGATGCTGAAGCCACATGCTGTATGATTCCGCACACAGAACATCTGGAAAAAGGCAACCTACACAGACAGAAACAGGCCGAGGCTCGGGGCGGTGGGGATCCAACACCAAAACAGCCTCCGGAAAACACAGGGAGTGATGAAAATGTCCCATCTCTTGATTTCGGGGGCCACCCGGGGGGGTGCACATGTCTGATGAAACTCACAGGCTGTACATCGAGGAAGGGTGAACGTTAGGGAAGGGCCACGGAAACACGACGCTGGTGCTCTCTGACTGTCCCAACAATTTATGAGTTGCACACCATACACGTGACCCGCTTAACGCGTACATTCCGTGGTGCGGATACACTCACAGAAGCATGCGGCCTCCACCGTCTACTGCCGGAACATCCTTCGCCCAAAACAAGCCCCACGCCCATTAGCAGTACCTCCCCCCCCCTCCCGCCCCGGGCACCCCTCATCGACTTTCTGTCTCTGTGGAGCTGCCTGTTTTCAGATGACTGGGATCGTACGAGGCGCCAAACACATCCACAACACCCGATTTCTTCAAAACACGCAGAGGCTCGAGCGGAGGCCACAGGCGGCTTCCCTCACGCAGCGCGATGTCCTCAGGTCCGCCCGTTACGTTCATCCCTGTTACGTGTACTCTGCTGAGTTTTGTCAAATGCATACACCTCACTTGCGTGACAACCGAAAGACGATGGGACACTTTCACCGCGCCTGTTGGGAAGCACGTGGCCGAGCACAGCCGTGCTCACCGCAGCAGCGCTCACAGCACCGCGTGGGAGCCGTGCGGGTCCCAGCCTCCCGATCATTCCGCAGCCCGCTATCGGAGCTCCCGGTCGGAGCTGGGCTTCTGCAGCCACCACAGTGGGCAGACTGAACGGACCAGGTCGACCTGGGGACAAAAGACGAGCTGCAGAAAGATGCAGTCGGCACAGACCTTTCCATAGAGTTTGTGAAACATACAACATAATGTGTAACCTTTTATTTCTTGAAAATAAAACGAATATAAAAGCTGCCGTCTTAACCCCGCGGCCTCTCCAGGACTCACATCCCGTCCCTGTCACTCACTCAACCCTGCCATGCTGGCCTCCCGGCAGGCACACTCCTGCCCCAGGGCCTTTGCACTAGCTATTCTTTCTGCCTCTAATGTTCTTCCTAAGGTGGCCAAATAGTCAAAGCTCTCACCTGATCTCCCTCAAACTGCTATGTTTTCCATGGCCCTTGTGGCCTTCTAGAATGCACCGTCTGCTGCTCCTTCTGTCTCCCCTGCTTGGTCATGACCTCACAAGGACAGGACCTTCACTGGCTTTGTTCAGGGATTTTTCTGTGATTCACTGATATGCCCCCAAGGCCTAGGACCATGCTTGGCACCCGGCAAACACCCAGTAAATTTTTGCTGAGTCAACAAACAACATGAGCTCTGGAAT